TGTGTGTGTGTGTGTGTGTGTGTGTGTGTGTGTGTGTGTGTGTATTTACAGTTATACTCAATGACTTCAGAACTTTCCCCCCTATTGGACCACCAATGTTACTTTGCTATATAATTTTTTATTTTAAATAGCAAGAAATTTGCTACCATCAATACACATCTTTAAAAAAAAAATACTATGTACTTGATCAGTTAAAAAAATGTTGAGAAACTGAAATTTTAAACTTACCTAAATCCGCTTTGTAGTTTTCCCCAATTTGTGTCTGACATATTAAACTACAGTTCCAGAATTTTCAGTTGATATGTGTTTCTATGGACTTATATTTTCAAAATGCATCCTATACCTGAAACTGAATTCTGGGGACTAATAGTGTCGCTCCAAAACACATCCTATTCATCATGCCCTTTTAAGTCAAATCACACTGTTCAAATGATCTTTCTAAAAGTTGATGTTCTCCTTTCATATCTTTTAAACAAGGCAGTCATAGTTTCTCAATGTGCCCTATTTAACAGATAGGGCACATATTATCAACAGACAAGTGCAGCACAATATCTTATGAACTGTAGTACAAATTTGCTTATTGTTACTAGATAAAATGGCTGGCATAGTCCAGTGGAAAGCTTTTCCTTCTATCCAAGCTTAATAAAGCTAGAGAACCAAAAGAGGAAGAAAGGCTAAAGATAATAATCCTTCAAGCATCTCTGTACTGGAAACGACAGAGATAAAAATGACATAGGATGCAATTGTAACATGGATGGTGCTCATACCTATATTTACTTGCAGCAAGCAAATGTTTGCTGCTTGCATTTTGTTCTATTCCTGCTGCAAAGAATGACAGGAGAAGAGGTCAGCTTTCCAGCAAAGTTGCCCCTCTCAAGTACTTGAAGAGCAAAGCAGGGAAAGGGGTTGATTTATATTAGGAGTTTCATTTAAATTAGTTCCAGGATTTCTATATCTCTTCCTTAAAGTGCTATCTTAGAACCTTGAATTTAACACTACTGCTACATCTATGGCTCAAAATACAAATGGAGAATGAAGCATTTCCTAACAAGCTGCTCTTGAGCATTTGAAATAAGTGTCCTTGTAAAGGAAAATAAATATTAAAGTTTACATCTATAAAGACAAAGGACTTCCCTTTGGTTCACCAGGATTTAAATATGCAGAAAAGGAAATTACCCAGAAGGTTATCTTCTTAAAAATGGTAAGCTTTTATATTCCTATACAATACCCCCCAAATTAATCTATAGAACCATTCTAGATTTACATTCAATGTGAACTCTGTTAATGGAAACTGTATAATTCTAATTCAGATACAAATTTTGAGTTAATTAAGAATGTCTAATTTCCATTAATTTATTAATAAAAATAGACAACCCTAATAGATAACGCACAAAACTTGTATGAAGTTTTGAAGACCACAATCTCTGTTTCAAAAATTTTTATCTGGTTGCCAGGAACAAATTATTAATAGGAACATTTGAATACAATTTCTGAGAAAGACTATAAAAGAAAATATTTATATATGGAGATACAATGTTTAATTGTTTTAATGACAGACAAATATATGGACACTCTCTTCTGGTGTGTGCATTTTAATAACCTCAGGGGGAAAAATCAAGCCCTTCGTTATGTTTGCTATATAATTAATTTAGAATATTATAGTATTGGGAATATTTCTCTTGGAAAGTCAGTATTAGCCTAGA